CCTACGCGGTTGCGTACGTACGTACGTACAGTGACGGAGGGAGGGCACAACGGCTTTGTTCGGCATGTCTGCTTGCCGTACGTCGTAGCTTGCAAGCTATTGGATGCTGCCGCGTGTACGATGGTTCAAGTCTGGCGAATTGAATGTGAAATCGTGAATGTGAATGTGGGATGCTGCTCTTTGACTTTCCGAGACCGAATTGAGGGGTGGGATGTTTCATGCAGCAGCTTGGGTGATCCACACCATCATCGCTCACACACTCACAACGCACGCTCGATTGCATCGGATGACATTCTGAGTTGTCATTCATCCCACGTATCATGTCGACCTAGAACGCAGCTTGCCCCGTCCTATTTCCCCCAAGCGCCTTCACACCGTCTCACCCCTCAGGACTACTTTGGCCGTCCATACATCATAGGGTTCCCGCCTTTGTGTGGATCTCGCCTGTATTCTTTGTGCGCCATACGCAGCAAGCCTGCTCGCACGACATCATGCTTTCCGCTCGACCCATGGAGGCCATCGTAGGCCACGAAGCAGGCAGCGACGGCGACACCGACGATGACGGTGCAGTACAGCTGGCCACGGAGGCCGGCAGGTTGCACTTGAAGGAAAAGACGGATGGTCCAGGTTACGAAGTGACTGGTAAATCGCCCATCCCACAAGGAGCTGGTACACCGGCGGATGGATCTCCAGCAGGTACCAATGCCGTCGTCTCTCCCGCTCTCAAATCTGTTCAGGTTCCCAATCTTCCAGGAGGAGGAGCGGAATTGGCCAATGCTGTCAGTCTAGGAGGACCAAGCAACTTTGCGCACGAAACACGTCTCAACAATGTTGGAGCTCTAAAGCAGATCAACGTCTCTGGTCCTGCTGCCGGTACAGAGATCGCCGCACCTGCAGGCACAGGGGGACCTATCCACACTTCCCCTCTGAGCGAGACCTTTTCAGGCGGCGCTTCCGGGCCTAGATCTAACAGTCTGTCGCCCGTGATCAGTAGTGCGAGGCATGCTTCGGCAGGGATAGGGCCTGGCGCGGTAGGCCTGGCAGGTGCGCGAGGAGTAGACGCTGCAACCGGATCGGCTACGCCTTCTCAGTTCATCTTTCCCAAGCTGGGAGCGAGGAAACACTCAGATGTGCCTGGTGCAGCAACTAGCGGTACCAACACCCCTGGTGATGCGCAGGGAAGCGGCACGGATGATCATGGGCATGGCAAAGGATCGGGCTCGCTCAAAGGTCCCAAGCGGAAAGATACCCATAATCCCCTCGTCGACCTTCGCCGTGTGAGTTGCGTGTGTTTAGATCAGAGCGTCAATGTACGCCTTCTATGTGCCCGCATGCTAACACCGCAGTTGACCTCACAGTTCTTGCAAAATCACATTGGACACCACAGCGATACACACATCCGCTCCAGCTCTGGCTCCTTGACGCCGAGCGGAGGAAGAAGAAAGGGCCACGACTCACCTCCGCTCGGAGACGATCATGCGCATTTGGCGAAGAAGTACGGCAAGTGGGGCAAAGTGCTAGGCTCGGGAGCAGGAGGTACAGTGCGTCTCATCAAGCGCAGCAAAGACCACACTACGTTTGCCGTCAAGGAGTTTAGACAGAGAAGACCAGGCGAGAATGAGAAGGAGTACATAAAAAAGGTCACTGCGGAATTCTGCATCGGATCGACGCTGCATCACGTCAACATCATCGAGACGCTGGACATCATCTCCGACCACGGACACTACTACGAGGTCATGGAGTATGCACCCTATGATCTCTTTAGCGTCGTCATGAGCGGCAAGATGTGCAGACAAGAGATCTACTGCGTGTTCAGGCAGATCGTGGACGGAGTGGATTATCTGCACAGCATGGGTCTAGCACATCGAGATCTAAAGCTGGACAATTGCGTCATGAACACTTCCAACATTGTCAAGCTGATCGATTTCGGCACCGCGACGGTGTTTCACTCCCCCGGAAAGTCCAAAGTGGTGGCCACCGGCGTGGTCGGGTCGGATCCTTACTTGGCACCTGAGGTGCTGTCTCAGCAAACTTACGACCCTCGCTTGACGGACGTCTGGTCTTGCGCGATCATCTTCCTTTGTATGGTGCTCAGGAGGTTCCCTTGGAAGCTGCCCGACCCCAAGACGGACCCAAGCTTCCGCCTGTACGTCGCTTCGCATCCAGAGCTTTGTCAGGCACCTGAGCATCCTGATCTTGCGATTATTGGAAGCGACCCGAGCAGCAGGCGGGGCAGCACAGCCGTCAACTCCTCTGGAACACCTACGCCTGCTGGAGACAATGTTCTTGGATCGATTGCAAGCCCAGAGGATGCGCCCGTGATTCGCACAGCTGAGGAGGCAGGCTATACTTCTGTGCACGGAGGTAGCCACGAAAGCTCCTTTGACAATCTGGATGGAAACGCTACGAGCGGACAAGACCCTGCGCGCGCCACTTCAACTGGACTCGTCACGACCGCTTCGCCAATCGATGGGGCGTCGCCTTCTGTCTCTGCGCAGAGCAGAGGTGCAGATCCCACTTCCAGACCTCTATCGCCTGATTTGAGGCACCGCAAGCCTACTCGGCAAGATAGCGTTTCCTCCGTAGCTACCTTTACATCCGGCGCAGCGGACTCCATCTTCCGTCTCTTGCCTCGAGAAACGAGATCAGCTTTGAGTCGCATGATGGCAGTGGAGCCTAGCTTGCGCTGCACGCTTGGGGATCTGCTTAGAGGACGAAGATTCTCCGATGGGGATTCGCCCTTGACTAGAACGCCGGTCATGTCGCGCACGCCTAGCACGGACAAGCTGAACGGGCTTGGCGACCACCATCAACCTAGCCACGCTTCGACGGGCATCACGAGTCCAGGTGGATTGCAGAGGTTGCAAGACGAATTTGAAGATGACGATGATACGGGAGACGAATGGTTAAAGGGAATCAGAACTTGCGCTCATGTGCTTGTGGATGCTAGACCTGGCGATCAGGCCGATCATCCACACGTCAAGGTGGTCCCTGAAGAACAAAAACGCAAACATAGCCTACTTCACCGCAAGGACTGATCGGGATACAAAGACGAGTCACAGGCAGGCACTCGCATTTTCCGAAGTCTAACCCCTCGGAGTGTCGTTTGTAGGACCGAACTTTTTCCTCTTGGTGACTCTGCAACCCTATTCTCGCCCCCAAGACGTGGTCTTCTTTTTTTTCCCTCCTTCCTTCGTCTCGCAACCTTGGACCTCCTTTTCTGTTTGTTTGTTCAGTCTTCCGCACATGTATGCCTCGCTTGACGTTCTTCTCCTTTCTGAATATCGAATTTCTTTTCCAATACTATACGCGTCCGCCACCCGAAATAGCGGCGCTGCTTATTCGTCAACTTGAGCACGTTGATCGTTTTACACCTGTCAGGTATTTACACTTGATAGGTATTTACACTCATGACTCAAGAGTGGGACAGAGGGCGAGACGGGCTTCTGGCGCCCTGGGCGATTCGCTCGAGGAGGCTCTCGCGTGCAACTCAATCTCACGCCAGTTGAAAATGGTGCGGCAGCTTTGCACGTGGCAGCAGCAAGATGTGATCAAGCTTTGGTCGGTCAAGGGCAGCCTAACGCCGTTGCAGCCTGGTGGGATTGTATCAACCTTCACACGTAAAAAGAGCTGGCTCCGGCACAACATTTCAATATCTTGGCATTGAGCACAAAGGCGGAAAGATGAAGCAGACACAGCCTTGCCCTTTTCGAATCCAGGGTCGAGCATCTAGGAATCTTGCCGAAGGATGTGTTTTGGAGCAGTCGTGCAAACTTGTCCATCTATCGTCCTTCTTCACTTGGCCAGAAGCTGCTCCTGTACCGACCGACCAATCGACGTTTGATCGACATTCAAATTGATGCGCGCAACGAGATTGTGCAAAAAATTTTCACGACCACGCGGGTGGAAAAGATGAGAGAGTTTCGGACACGATGGTAAGTCGTGAGCATCGCTTGTCTACTAATAATACGACAGAGCGATCTTGGCGTGGCTTGTTCTTCCTCATCGAATTCATGATTCTGATTCACAACATGTGCTGCTGCTGCTGCACCTCTGCTTAGATGGTTTGGGATCGGGCGTTTGTCGGTTGTGGAATCAAGACCTGACAATCGAACACGTGACCGACATTTTGATTCAGACCCTTGATTCTTGACTCGATCGCTCCTGATCAACAATCATGAATCAAAATCTAGCGTTTCCGATTTCTAAATCGTGACTATATTGAGTTGATGAGTGTGAATCACGAATGCA